ATATATATATATAAATATATATATATATATATATATATATATATATATATGAATATATATATAGCCTAGTCCATCTTTGCAAGCTTGTTGCAGGCATCTCACCTCGTTTATTTTGGCACTAGACAATGGGTTATGAGTCGCTTGGAAACGCTCTAAACATGCCAACCACTGCATGGCGTATGCTGAACATCGCTTACCTCACAAAGCTTCTCAGAAACTGAGGTGGGATAATCGAATGGTAAATGCAATGTAATCCATGTTGCCCATCCAAACAATAAAGGTAAAACGGCTAGTTGTCTCAAGGGTTTCTGCTACGTTTCGTATTTACCATCTCACAATTCGTTCGAATTTGTTTCGGCTATCTTTTTCAGGCGAAACAAAGAGACGACGAACAAAAAAATGTCATCCACAAATATCCTTTTCCTCTAATGGATGTGTTATTCCACTTCACTCATAACAACACTTGTTGTTAAAGGTATTATCGGCTGTTTTTTTTGGTGCATTACGTTTTCAGAGGAAAATTATGTATTTAGTGTATGAGAAAGCCAAAGTCCATGGGACTTCGGCATTTAAGTTATGCTACGTTTCTCGGTTGGGGAGCGTTGGGCTCTCTTGAACAAGAGGTATTGATGGAGTGAGATGACTGCATGGCGCAAACACTGGCTCATGTGCTCCTGCTCACATCTACATTCATCTTACTTTCCCATATACCATATCGTTCTCTTCGTGATGCCCTCAGCTTGTCGCTTTATTTTATTCCTTTTGTCGTTGCTTGACCAAATGCATAGCTGACAAACAAGTGATCTACGGAAGTGTAAGGTTGTCAGCCCATTTTCTGGTAACGGGTATGTTCAAATCTCAGTCAGCACCATCGCTCTACTTTCTCATCTGTCAAGTGAAATCCTTCCATTGGTCATAGACTCATTTAGTCTTTTGTCTTGGGAATAAATTTAAGTAAGACTATTTTCCAGCTGTTTTCCAGATTAGCAATACGTGTGTTGCTTTTCTAGCTGCAGTGGGGTATGAGTTTTAAGCGAAATATGTAGGCGATTTTCATCACTCTGGTCTGAGGAACCACAAGGCAAACATTTCCCGCTCGCATTCCTTTATTCACCTGGCTTCTATATCTGGCACATCGGTCGCATGGATAAAACAAAATGGCTGTTTTTTGCTCTTGCACTGCTTTTAGTGAAGCCACAAATTATTTCCTCCGATAACCATTAAACACAGTATGTGGGTACCGTGACCTGGTTCAGTGAGTACCACACGTTTCAGTCCAGAGGTCAAGCACCAAGAAAGGTCTCGAATATTCCTATCAGCTGAATGTGAGCGGTCGAGCGGGAAAAACGGTTGATGTACCCTATTCCGATTTCTCATGTGATAATCGAATGTTTCACCTGTTCCATTGTAATCAATACAATCCAATTAATCCCATGGAATCCATTAACTAGGAAAATTTGCATCGTACGTGTCGTGGACGAATTTCTGTATTGAAGTGATCACAACAAGACATGGATTTTCGTGTGACAAAAGTTCCGCTCACAAAACAGCATTTTTCCTAGTGTTACAATATTTTCAACTCGTTCTCACACATTTATGCTTGGCTTTACCTCATCGAATACGTAAGCAGTTCTCGTACATTGTGAAGTCTACTTCGTTCCAAAAAAAACGTTTTCAAGCCTGTTTATATTGATTGGTCATGTTGGTTACTCACTCAAAGCGAATCTTCTATCCGAGTTCTTACTTTACTTTATTTCATTTGAAGTTTTAATAAACTACGTAGATGTAGGCTCACTTCTGTTGAACTGTTTGTATACATATTCTGTGTTTAATGTATGCGGTTGCCTTGGTGACGGTGTATCCCTCGTTCGATCGCTAACTTTCTTTTGATGTTGTTCATGATGATGATGATGGTGCTACTTTCAGGCGCATGAACACCGGCGGCCCTCGAATTCTCTGTGATGTCTACGAGGCGGACTATCGGGTTATGGATCCGGTCAAGATTTTTGAGAAATTCACCCATTTTATCGAATCGATCAATCGTGTTCGTCGCTTGAATCCGGGTGCACGCAAACTTATTCGGCAGGTTGGTTTGTCTCGTTCTATTCACGATCCTCTCCCCCCTTTTGTTCCCACGCGTGCACAGTCACGTTGATTGTGCAAATCTCGGGTGTCTCCATGCGGTGTCCTGTGTTCCGTGTAACCTGTTTGCATATTGTTCGGCACCACATACTCATTGGTTTTGTAGCGTGATGGTAATTTTGTTCTATTTTCATACCTGCTCGCCTTGGTTTGGCATGTTTACCTACACAATAGCGATTAGCATCCATTTTTCCATCCTCTGTTCGGTTTTCTCAGTTATTTATATCGCATTGCTGGTCTGTTTCTTTGTTGCGAATGCATTTCGGTTCTTCAGGATGTGATTGTGCTGATGTATGCTTTCACTGTTGTATTTCACATATGTTTCAATGCTGCTTCTGTTCTTGCAATTGTTGTTGTTGTTGTTGTTGTTGCTGCTGCTGCTGCTGTTAACATTTGTCAGTATCCTAACAACTGGGGATTTTATCCCTACAGAGCGGATAGACAATTCAATCACATCCTCACTCTGCCACATCTTTTGGCTTTCTATCGCAGTTGTTTTATATGGAAGCCAATTTATTGCACAATGAAATGTTATCACTTTTACAGTTCAGAACCTGGTTGTACGTCCGTCCACATGCAATTGTTAACCAGTCATAAAGGTTGTGACGTCGTGCGCGATAGAAAGTTGGAAGGCCTGATCGGCTCAGTTGTGCACAGTTTTCACACAATAAGTAGGAAAACGATATTTTCCAGAAGAATTGCTCCCATCCTCCTTAAGCCGTCCACTGTTTGTATTTGTTTTCAGATTGCATGCAAAGCATTCACGCAACGTGCGCGGTAGACCATTTAAAGCTTCCAACAATAGAAGCTGTATGCCGTCGGGCCCATCCCACTGCTACAAATAGCGGGTATAGATGGGCATTGGTTAACTGCGCAATCGGTGTCGGTCTGACCCTTGTTCGGCCTGGCGAGCTAAACTGACGGAACGGAAAACCATAGATTTCCGTAATAAATGTCACGTTGGTCAGCCGTCAAATAAAGTTAGCGCTATCGTCCTGTTTCGTCCAAGGTGGCAGCGGGCTGCATTTTGCTCCTGAGGATGGCACTTTTTAGTTCTGATTTTCCAGTATTAGTGCACCGAATTGTCGTACACGCTGACCGTATATGCAGTCTTCGTAGGAGAGAGCAATTGACACATTCGTACAGATATACTCTGCACTGTTTGGTGATGACCTGAGACGCCTGTGTCCGGTTTAATCCTTGGCTCAGACACTATATCTCCGTATGCGAATACACATAAGGTTATGGTGAACCTGTGAGACGTATGGATATAAACCTTTCCCTAGTATGTGACAGATGACGTGATCAGTGTTTTTCGACCTAACGCTTTGATATTGACAGCTCTATCCCGCCAACCTCCACGGCCCATATGTTCAATTCAGATTAGGTTTTTTCTTACGTGCACAATTTCCACTTGCAATATGAAGTTCAGACATCTCGACATATTTCGATCACGATATATAAAGTGCCCAAAGTTTGACAATTAATTGGAAGTGATATAACAGTTCCATTATCTTACCCATTTTCATATCTTAAATACTGCTTTCTCCAACAATTAATCTATATCGTACTTCTAAGGCTTGCTTTTGACGTTTCACAATACACTATTTGTGGGTTTTAAGCATTGCTTGTCCTTCCCAAATCACGATTTATTGTCTTACCACTGGAAACGATTCAGTGTTTGGTTTCGGAAAACTGTCAAGTAATCATCTCATGGGTAAGTCCTATTGCAAAGTTTTCTTTTGTGTGTGTTCTTGCGAAATGCATAACTTCTATAAAAAGCAACTTCCTTCGTTTCCCGCTTAATGTCACAGTACTCGTGAGACACACGCTGCAATACCATACACAATTGTGGCAAAATCTCCTCGAATCACCAACCTCAATTTGACACGGATTTTTTGTTCGGATCACATTGTGTTTCTCCGAGACGCCACCCAATTGTCTCCGATTCAGTCCNTCCGTTTTCCCTGCCAGTTGATCATGAAGTTTGACATTATAAATTAGGGTAGCCCGATTTTACGTGTATACCCTTATTTTGAGCGTCGTCCTCACTAGATCTAACTGACAATGCATGCTCTGTGTACGTGTTGATGGCAACCCATGTGAATCTTCTCTTAGGATCAATCTCAGATCTCGTGAGTTTAATAATTCTCATTGGCCATAATTGTGTATTGAAGAGTAGATTGGATAAGCCCCATATTCTGGAGGATCCACTGCTTGTTTATTACAAACTTTATCCTGGTAATCGAAATAACGAACCGTGCAAAATTCTGTCAGTATAGGTGTGGCATTTAGGGGGATAATTACAGAACTGTCTGCCACTATAAATGGTTTTCAATGCGGGGTTTGAAACCCCAAATTCATGGTTGAGGACACTCCAATCTCAATTACTTAAATTGCTTTTTACCTCTTAACTTGCTTCATGTGGAATCGGGAAATGCCACACTGAGCAGAGTATCAGTTTTTATCACATACCACTGGTCGGCACACAACAGCTGGAGTGAACTTTATCATCAAGAAAAACATGAAGATGATTCTCATCCGTGTCTTGGAGTGATGCCTTCTAACAAAAGGACATGACAACAGTTAGCTTGCTGCACACAGAGCTCTAAATTCAACCTGGAACAGTGGTGTTTTTGCATGAGCCATTGAGGCGCTACTGTGGTAGCCTGTTTGATTGATTTGTTTCTTGTTCCATCTGAATAATATGACTGGGTGACACAAACAACTGGGCTCCTGCATCTACTCATTCTCTTTTCAACCTTCGTCCCTATGCTCCCATTGACTCTGTTTTTGAAAATTCCAATTTCCTTTCTCCTGCTTTATCTAAACCGGCAACCAAATCAGGACACAACTAATGAGTGTATAAACCGAAAACTTAAACTGAACTGAAACCCGATTTTCAACCTACCAATTAGTTCATTTATCCTGTGTCCCTCGGTGACCCGAAGCATTCCGATTACGATTGATTCAAATACCTTTGATTGTGCCTTTGACTACAAGGTCGTGCAATTCACATACTCCAATTTTTTTGTACCATAGCGACGGATATGCACAAATGAACATCCGCCCTCGTCTGCTCACATTGCCTGTGCCGCGAAATCTTTTATGACTCACAATCACGTCTATGCAAATCATGTTTATCTGACCAACCTGAGTCATGTGAATTAAGCTGGAATGATGTTTAAAATCGATCTTGGCAGTTGGTTATCAGTGAGCTAGGCGTAGCTAACAAACAAGTTCATTTTGCCTCTGTTCTTCGAGCTTCAAATTTTGTTTGCAAACGTTTAATCATCAGCCGAACTGATATATTCAGGGCGTGCAACCAACACACGTGCATCGATTAGACACAACTGATCAGTTTGCGAATGATTGTTGCAAATGATTTTGCGGTAACGAAGGGATAACTTCCCATCGAGAAACCAGTTACTGAGTTTCATTTCGCCTGTTCGCAGAGCTTTGCAATTTGTTTGCAANAAACGTTTCATCACCAGCCGAGGTGACATCATCAGTGCTTGTGAAGTGGCAGTCTGCCAAGCTCGGCGAACAGGTGAAATGAAACCCAGTTCACCCGAGCTACGAGAACCGATTTTCAATACTCTGTCAACAAACCAGTTATCGGTCACGTGTTCCATTATTCTGCCATGAAATAACTATCCGTCCAGTAACGTCATTTTATTCTACCGAAAAAAATTAGGAAGTTGGATTTGGTGCGCTTCCATCATAACATGTGGTTCCCCTTGTGCTTNTTTTCTGTTTACCTACCATCGACGAAGAAAGCAGCATTATCAACCACTAATATACCTTGAGTCTACGATAGTTACATTTACAAGGTGTGTTTAACTTGTTCTGCATATATTCCCCACGCTTCGACCGTTAAAAAGATTGTATGGGTGAAGGGAAATACGAGGCAGCATATGTTGTATGATTGTATGACGCACAGATAGGTGTCAAGCAAATTTTCGGAGTGCAAGTTGCGAGTTTGAGGTCACAAGTACTGTTATGGCATTTTCCTACTCCTCTGAGATCCCTCGCTTCTTCCTCACCCCATTTGCTTTCCTGTGAATCAGTTCGATCTAAAAAAAACTGCATTTACTCACATTTGAAGCGACCAGTGTCTCTTTATCGGATTTCGTTGCACAATCTCTGCTCGTGTTTTCTGAAAACCCATACCTGACTCGGTCAGTCGGACCAAACGCGTTCTCTCTGGGTCCATCTTTCAATAACTGACTTAGGTGACTTGTTTTTCACGACCAGAGAAAGGTCAAAACAAAACTGTCAACTTTTCTTCGCCTGATTAACAGACTGTTCCGGGTGGGGTAGGGAGGGGGGGGGGGTTGTCCGTAGCGCTCATGCTTAAGCAGGTTACCCACTTTCACCGCTTTAAAGTACAAAGCGCAAAGTTCACACAGCCAAATTTTCGGTCGTAGACATTTAGTGAACGAATCAGATACAATCTTCATCATCAGTGAAGAGGCGGGGGGCTAGTGAATGTTTCATTGACTTCTCGATAATCACGGGACTGTGTTACGTCAGTCATCGTCGTCATATGGATGCTTTCAGTTTGAACTGGTGCAAGAACTTTTATTTCAAGGTCGAGTGATACCGTTTTTTGTTTTCACCATCACAGTCAGTGTCCAGTGAGAGAGAGCTTTGATCGTCGCAGTTGAGAAACTTTTGTAGTATGTTTTCGATTCCATTAGGACACAATCGTTTATCCATCTACGCGCAGAGCATTGTTCACTGGGCTCTGTGTACTTTTATTGATCGACCTTGTCCCGTCGGCATCGCTTGGTGTCCAATCTCTACCCCACTGCAATAACAGAATGCTAACCTTCGGAACATATACTTTTTATTAGGGATGACTCATGACCACATAAAATCCTACTAATACTGCAAGTTGGATAACGTTTTATCCGATTCGATGCGTTCATTTTGCGACCAAAACAACCTCATTAAACATTGGCGAAGAGAAGCAGTGAACTCAGTATTTTTGCTGACCTGACAGTCGAT